GCTCTTCAGCTCAAGGCTAGCGCTCTACCACTTGAGCCACAGTGCCACTTCCAGCTTTTTTCTTTTTGCTTATGTGGTGCTGAGGAATCGAACCCAGGGTCTTGAGCATGCAAAGCAAGAGCTCTACCACTGAGCCACCTTCCCAGCCCACAGTATTGATCCTTTTAAGTGTACAAAAGTAATAATAACAATGAAACTGATATCAGTGTTTACTACAAATGGAATATAAGTACCTTACAGTGTAATCTCTTTATATTGCTTATAATCACATGAACTAGAAGTAGAAAGCAGTAGAGCTAGGATTTGAGTGCAGTTCAGTGGTTAGAAGGTAGTGGCAATGGCAAAGGCCCCATTCTTTTTAAAAATTATATTGTTACTATTAAGTATTTGTATAAAAGGGTTAAAACTTTATAAGGCAGCTTGAGTACAATGGTTTTTTGACAATGTAACCCCTTTTATCATTTTCTCCCATTTCATCCCTCCTGTCCCTACTCACAAGTTACATAGTTCACTTGTTACATAGTGTACCTCAAATACAATGACTACATTCGTTCACCCTTCCTCCCTCCATTCCTGTGCTACCCCTTTGCCCACCCCCCAAAAAGTCACATTTCCTGGTATTGTTTTTGATAAACAGCGCATTAATTCTTCAGAGGAATGATGTCTTTGGATACCTTCCTTTGGTCAATTTGTTTGGGTATAAATGCATTGGGCCCTATATATGTTATCATGCCTAGTTGTAGTTAAGATCTAGCTTACACATATGATAGAAAACATGTGCCTGGTTTCACTCAACATGATTTGTTCTAGGTCCATCTATTTCCCTGAAACTGATGTAATATTGTTCTAATAGATGAGTAAAATTCCATTGTGTATATGTGAAACATTTTCTTGATCCACTCATCTGTGGTAGGGCAACTGGGCTGTTTCTATAAGTTGGCTATTGTGCACAGCCAACAATAGCAATGAACATGGATGTGTGAGTATCCTTACCGTGTCTTGACTTGTAATACTCTAGATAGATGCTCAGTAGTAGTGTGGCTGGCCCCAACTTCATCTCCCTCCCTCCATCTGCAGCAAGATAGGTACTCTCACACCTAAAACCATGTGAGGCTTTTCTTCTGAGACTGAAGACACCTGACTGGAGTCACAAGAGAGAATGTCATGGTAATATTGGAGCAAAATCATCGCATGCACTAAAATGTCAGCTAAAAGATGACACTCTGGAGTATAGAATTTCAAGAAGCAAATATGAGGTTAAATATCTTTCATGAAGTTGTAATTTATAATCCTGTCTTCCTTCCCTCCCATTTTATTTTCTGAACTCAGGTATCAAAGAACAAGGCACAATAATTTTCATTGGAAAAGGTGAATCAATTATTTCAAGCTAATTAAGTGAACATGTTACGAGCTGTGTAGAACATAAAGCCATCTGAGGAAGTATTATCATATGGTTTGAATGTGAAAAGTACAGGAATAGGGTGATGGGGGGAGTATTCTAGAAAGAAAATCTGAAAATCACCTTTAGTCTTAGCCACCTTGATGCTTCAGAAAGAAAAAGGAAAAACACAATGACGGAGACTTTCAGCCACAGGGATACCTTTGCTCTGTGTCATTTCTTGAGACTGCCTTTCCTGTTATCCAGCCACAAATTACAGGCATCTTCTTCCAATTTTTATTATAGCATCACAACTTACTTTATAGTATCTCTGGGGTTACCTGTTCTCCTTTTTTTCCAGCTTTTCTTGATTTTTTTTGTCTTCTTATCAGTTGTTATTCCATAGGATAAACATAAAAAATAGGAAAATAAAATTGATCTCTTATTTCCTACAGATGTTAGGATGTAACCAAGCCTGGTAAGTTGCTATTGGCTGAAAGGAGATTTGGGACACCAATTAGTACATCGTATTGTTTCTATTTGTACTTCTGTTTTTCCATTAAGACTATTAAATGTTGGATGGTAGGGACCAGCTGCATTTTTTTCATTTTTCTTTCCCAAGTACATAGGTCAGTGTTTGATGCAGAAAAGACCTGTGCAAAACTGTTGAAGGTAGTGAATGAATGAATGAATGAGTGAAACAAGAGAAATAGCAGCATTCATCTCTTTCTCTTACCCTCTCCTGATAACTACTCAGGTAGCTACTTCCAGTGTAGCCACTCAAGAAGCCCAGAATGTTGTAACTTTTCAAAGATGTATGGAAATTCTTGGAACTGGTATAAACCAGTACCCAGCCATTCCCAACACATACACACACACACACACACACACACACACACACAAACACACACACAGTGAGCTGTCAGGCAAGTAGTTTAGGAAGCAGAATTCTATAAGGAAAGCCATGTTTGGTTCGCATTTTAATGAGTGAGGAAGGAATGAAATGTTGAATTATTTATTTCTGTCCCAGGATATTCTAATCTTGGAAAGATGGCTACCGGGGTTAACACCAGTTTCCCCTTAGAAAAATGAATAGTGTCTGCACTGGGGTTAAGGTAAAATGACCATGTCCTGCTGTAGTTGTCAGCAAGAGGTTCATTGTTTATGGCTTCATTACTACCTTAAATCGAATATCTATATTTCCCCTTCGGTTTAATGAGGCCACATGGTTGGGGGATTTTTTCTTTAACTCAGCTTATTTTAATTTGTGTTTAACTAGCCCTCCTAACCTATTAGGTACTCAGATGGGCAAGTTAGAGACAATTAGCTAAGTGTTTCTCTTGTTACGCATACCTCAAGATAAGAATAATCAATAAGACTGAGGCAGTTACGGAAGAGAAATTCAGTGTCCGTCAAGCATATTAGCCACCTGATCAAGCTGTGTTGCAGAAGCAAGTGGCTCTTCCTGCCTGCCTTGGCCTCATTACTGCTCAGTCACTTTGCTGTTGTGTTTTCTTAGTTTTCAGGACTTTATCTCCTGTCTTTCTTCACCATCCTTATCGGGCTGGTGCTCTACTCCTCCACCTCCACGTACATAGCCCAGGACCCCAGAGTGTACAAGCAGTTCCGCAATCCTTCAGGACCTGTTGTGGACTTACCAACCACAGCTCAGGTGGAGCCTTCAGTCACCTACACCAGCCTGGGCCAGGAGACCGAAGAGGAACCCCATGTACGTGTGGCCTAGGATGAATCCTGCCCTGCCCACTGAGGATAACTCAGGGGCCCTATGTTTGCCCATCATCTCTGTATTGTACATAGAGAAAGGTATTTACTAGGTGCAGTTTACATAGGTGGACTGCAAGGTAGCAGATGCTCTGAAAGTTCGTAAAAGGAACAAAGTAAAGCTCACTGGAGACACAGGCTGCGATCCACCTGAGCAGGAGGGATGCCTAGCTGGTGAGCACGAACCCCTACTCCGTATCAGTTACTGTGAACATTTTTGAATCAAAAGCAAGTATTCCTGTTATTATGATTTATATTATTATTGTTACTGTTCTTAAACTTTCAGGAGGAGGTTTTGTACTCCTGGTAGGAACTATTGCCAGATCCACACATAGTCAGCATCAATCCCACTTTTTTTTATGGCAAATCACTTTTTAAGAATCACAGGGGTTTTTGGTTTGTTTTTGTTTTTGTTTTTTGGGGGGTGCAGACTATGTGAGTGATGCATGCCACAGGAGCTCCACCCCTGAGACGTGTCCTCGTCCTAGGGACCCGGTGTGTAATGGTTTCCTCTGTTAGATGTGTGACTGCCTGCTCAATAAGTATCTTGTGCTGTGACCCGTGGGGGAGGGGCAACTGACCATATAATTCTCTATTCTAGGAATAGATGTAAGACAAACATTTTAGTCTTTTTTATATTTCAATCTCTAATTACTCTAGGCCATTACCTTTCTGTTGTGCCACGTGACTGCTAATCAAGTCCCTGTAATTACAGGATAAGGACTGTTCTACTTCTGTGGCTTATGGGAAACCTCAGAAATAACATCATTTGCATTTATGGTTATGTATCTTTTTAAAATTTTATGGCCTTCCCTCTAGCGCCTCTTCAAAGCACCCCCCTCCCTTGATTTTCTTACTGGTAATATATAAATTAATCTAGGCACTGGAAAAATCCTTCTTCTCTGTCATGTTAATTATATGACATCTTTAAAAATACAAAACCAAACCCATCAGCATAGAACTTGTCTTTACTGTGAACTATCATTGTTTATGCCGCCTCCTCAAGTCAAGGTGCCAGTGTAGTCTCTCATAAAAGTTCAACTGCCCTGGTCACTTTGTAGTGGTTTTAAAAAAAAAGCCACCATTGGAAATCTGGTATTTGAGTCATTTTTAATAGCCACTCAATTGTAGAATATATTAGCATAACATTCATCATCTGATCCATTGCCCTTCCCTCTCCCACCCCCAAAAAACCCACCAAAACACAGAAAATTAAGACCTCTGTAATATAGAGTAGATTCTACGTGCCAGTCTATGAAGTGCTTCTTCAGCTTGGCTGACTTCAATAACGTTTATGAAGTTTGGGGCAGTTTTGTTTTGTATGCCTTAAACAGGTAAGTGAAGCAAAACACAAGCAGGGTATAAAATAGAGGACAAATCACAGAGCAGGACTTGTACAAGGCCTAAAGATGGTAGGCTAAGGAATCCCATGCTGTCTGCCAGCACAAGTGGATGTTTTTGTAGGCCTTCTAACATGGAATGAGTGGTCCTGCCCTAGAAAAAGAAAAACTATCTTCTCTGATATGCAGATTTCACAGTCAATTCAGCTTCCTTTAAAACATGTTTTGTTTTATATGTGGAGGAACAGTCAATGCCAAAACGATATCACATCAAAATAAACTTGCCAGACATCTGCTCTCTGCTACCTTTTAAACCAATCAAATACCTTTCTCTGAATATTTTGTCCATTCAGACCCGAAGACCTTTAAAGACTGTGGTTTTATTTTTGTGTTTACATTCCTTTGGTTTGCATAATTTGCTTGATTTATTACACTTCTAGTATTTATTTTAAGGCAAATGGGTTTTTTGTCTTTTTGACTCATTTTTATGACACTAATTTGCAGACACTTATGAGAAACAAGTGGCTGAAACTATTTCTAAGTCTACTCAGTGGGCTGGGATTTTTTTTAAATTAAACTTTCCAAAAAGTTTGCAATCAACTGATGGCAATCTATCTTATAGGAATCAACTGAAGGCAATCTATCTTATAGAAATCAACTGATGGAATCTATCTTATAGGACATTTTAATTGACTCCATTGTATGGAAAGGAAGTGTGAATGTCAAGAGGTACTCACTGTGAAAAGCTTCATCTTCCAGTATCTGTGCAATCAGACTGTCATGTCACTGAGTTATCTGGCTGTGTTGCTTCATCTCCATGTAAAAAGACTGGAAATCTTGATTGTTCGAGGTCAGGCATTCCAGATTCACCCTTCAGTGGGGGAAGAAAGTAGTAAAGTTTCTTCTTCTGAGGAAAAACATTGGTCCTTTGGGATTGGGTAGAAAATGGAAACAGGGCAATGTTAACTCTCGTCTTTTAGTTGCTGAGATTTCATAACCTCAGTAGACACCAGCAAGATTTTCAACTTTTCAAGCCACCACTCTCTTCAACCAGTGAGACCCTAGCAATTAGGATTCCATTTGATGAAGAGCAAATCACAGCTCTTCCTAAACCCTGCTAGAGATAAATGGTGGTTCTCCCTTCCTCCATGGAAAGTTGCACTGGGGACAGGGCTTGCCTTGGTCATACCTTCCCACAGCTTCTAACCTTGAAACACACATCCAGGTAGACCAAGCAATGGAAAAATTGGCACCACTGTGTCCCATGAAAATGTTTAAATGTTTAGTTTAGATATTGCTAACTTGTGCTATTAACCTTTGGAAAAGCGTGTAGTATTGTTTGGGGGGGATTATTTTTTATTTGTAACCACTTAGTAGTCCCCAGCTAGCTACCAGTACAGATTTTACCCCATGGGTAGGATTCTATTGTTAAGCCACATAACAAAGCACACTAATCCTGCTACCACAAATGGAAAATATGAACCAAAAAGGAAATTGACACCAGTAAGTTGAGCAAACTGTCCATTTTTTTTTGATATTTGCATGCTCCCCTATGGACTGGCTGTGGCAATGTAATGCCTGTACAATGTTTTCAAATAAAAAATAAATGCTTTATGAAAGCACTGAGTTCTTGGTTTTCTTGTGTGTTTGTCTGCACTATGACAACCATGGAAGCAGTTCCCTTAGGATGCTAGAAATAGCAACAAAAGCAAATAGCTGGGTATGTGTCAAAACAAAAACCAGAGAGAAAATATTTCCAAATTAGGAAGGGCACAGCCAATCTCAGAATTATAGTTTTGAAAAGCCAAATTAAACACATTTGTAATTAGCAAGATTAATTATTGATTAGGGTACTGAAGAAAGCTCTGGAGCTACAACCACGTCCACTCATGTAGATCATATAAATTTACCCCTGAGAAACAACTTCTCATAATGAAGAAAGCTTTTTTGTTTCCTGCCCTTGATATGCTAGAAGACCTAAGGATGAAGCTTCTTCCAGAGCCAGACATTTATTTAGCAGATGATGTCCATATTTCTGTTCAGAACCTATAGAGAATCTTTAAAAAAATATCCCCACTACAACTGATATCACCCTATACACTCACGTCATTTATGTGTGTTTGTGTTCACAAGATGACCTCTAAAATTAAATGAGCCAGGATGACTGTGTCTGATTTATGCTTTTAAAATACTTTTTAAAAGATAACAACCATTATTTCAGGAAAAAGGATCAGTCTTACATCCTTATAAAATATTACACAAAATACCCAAGTTGAAACTCATCATGACCTGTTTTGGTAGTTAAAACAACATGTACTTAACATAAATAATTTGCTTGAAAAGTATGAGTCACAGTGTCAGAAGTTTTCCTTGTGAAAATTCTAATTTGATTTGGTAAGCTCTTTGATCAAGGATGAAAGCAATTTGAACTTCAGCCCAGCCTGTGTCCAAATACCCATTATTTCCAAATGATCGGGGGTCCAATTAACATGAACAATAAATGTATATGTCATGTCCCATCTATTTCCTTCAGTGAATTCTAATTTTCTTAAGAGAAAGAACAAGGTTTCCAAAATACTTAAAAACACTTGCAATAAAAAAAAAAGATAGGAGAAAGTGGCGCTGTGGCTCAAGCAGTAGAGCACTCGCCTGCCTTGAGCTGAAGAGCTCAGGGACAGCGCCCAAGCCCAGAGTTCAAGCCCCACTGCCGACCAAAACGCGCACACACACACACACACACACACACACACACACAGATAGGAGCACCTGAATTTCATGAAAATCAAAATTAAGGAAAACATCTAAAACTCCAGGGCAATAGCTTATTGTATTGTATAGATGTCCCACAAGAAAACCAAAAGTACTGTGAGAAATAATAAAAGCTGAAATCAGATTCGGATCATGTAGTTTCAATGCCCAGCAAAACACAAGGGCCCTTGACTGTCTTCTTTTAATAGAATCTGTCACCTAAACTACAACTATAAATTACTTGGTAAGAAATTCTGTTATAAAATATTCCCTTGTTTTACTATTCTTGAGGACTTTTATTCTATAGACATCCTGTTCTTGGAAAGGAAGAAATGGCCATTTTCATTTAAAGGTCCTCTTCTATGGCATATTCTAAAATCAGTATGAGCCTTCAGGTTCAGGACTGTGGTATGAAACAGCAAAGTTTTTTTCTTACTTGTAAATAGTATGTTTGCATTTGTAATATACCCTCTTAATTATATGCACGCTTTCCTTTCTTTTTTTCCTTCCATCTTTCTTGTTTCAATAAGAATCAACAGAGAGCACACTGTGGGCCACCTATGCAGGGTCTCTGCCCCTTATTATCTATGCTGTCAAAACTCTTTAATTAAAAAAATTATAATACAGCTGGAAAGCCCTGCCTCCTCCAGACGGCCTTTCCTCAGTGCCTGAAACAAGCCATTGTGCATCATTTTTCGGTCAGCAAGACAAGTCACCTCCAAGCAGTAATGTGGCCTGATTCACAAGGAATAATATCAGAAGGAAGAGGTCTCTGGGAACAGGCTGTAAAATTAGGGCCTTCTGTTTGGATGGACAAAGGGCTGGTGTGGATAAGATAAAAATCTGGGGAAAAAATCATGAAAATGAGCTTGTTCATCAAACCTCAGCCTTGGAGCTGGGATCAATCCCACAATACTAGAAGGGTCATATCAGAATAGAAGAAGGTAAATGTTACTCTACACAACAGAGAGTAATCTTCCTGAAACTAATTGTCCCAAACAGATGGCACAAGCTTTTAAAAAATGTGTTAGATCATGCAATAGTTTAGAGAGCTACTGTAGGGTATTAAGTAGGCTGAGCATGCAACCCATTATCCAGTGCGTTAACACTTTCAAATTGAAAGCAGGAGCAACCGGTTTGAGTCCCACTGCTCACTCTCCTCAGTGGCCTTTATTATGTCTTTGTTACATAAACCCTTTACAACTGTAAAAAAAAAATTAAAAAGTGAAAGCAAGCACACTCAACACATCTCAACTCAGATCATCCCATGTGGGCCCTGACATTTAATTAGCCGGACTCTAAGAGATGAACGACTGAATGGCAGCTGGCCTCACAAGGATAACTATGTCTTTCTGCCACTAGGTGTCACTGTCTTGAGGTAAAACAGTAGGGCAAAGCTATTCACCTGCCCTCTATTACTAGGCCATTCTCATTTCTGGAGGGTATATCT